AACATAAAAATTAGTAATGAGAAATTTCGCACTCTACTTTCACACGAAGCCCTCTCGGCTGCCTGTGCCTTATGCCTACGGCCGGTCACTGTGCTCATTCACACGTTTCACACGCCCCGCGGCCACAGCCTTCAAGCCACCAAGTGTCCCTTAGCCTAGGTCTTCCCGCACAAAATAGTCACAAGATGATTGTGGGTGAATCGCTGTCTTACACTGTTTCTGTTTGTGTATTTAAAAAGGAAAATAAAAACATTTAATAGGGAGTAAAAAACAACACTGAGAATGTGTTCCCAGCCTGTTGCCAGGTTTCCCACCCCTTCTGGGGAGCCTGAACTGGAAAGGCCCGATCCCTAGCCACTGGGGCCTGGGGCGGCCTGCGGTAATACCCTAATTAACGCCCTCACGGGCACTCTTGATCTTCAAGGAGCCGTGCCCACTTGGCTAAGGCTGCTCCTGGATTAACTGCCCTGAACCAAGAAAGCCTTGCCCAGAGATAAAGGGAAATGTGGTGTTTCGTCATTACAAATTGTTCTGAAATCCGCCTGGCTCTGGGCAGTGGCCTGGGTCTGGATGCCTGGCTGACCCCCTCCCGTGCGACCCACCCTGGGCGCCACGGCCCTGCAGCCTTGCGCGCGCATGTGCGTGCACGCACACAGGCTGGTTTTCCTGGGTGGGAGGGAGACTCACTGGCTGTGGTTGGGTGGCTGGCCCCCATTTTCCAGAGAGAACTGAGACAAGGCAGTCTAAGGACAAACACCTCAACAAGGCCAAGGCCAAGGGACAGAGGGCAGCCAGGACTGGGGTGTGCCCCTCTTGCCCTGTGCACGTTGGGACTGGGGACCAAGTGGGATGGGCTCCAGTCCCAGAGCTTATGCTGCTGGGGGACCCAGCATCCTTCACACTCCTGTCTGTGAGCCTTGGGACAAATGCCACCCGAGGAATTCTGCTTCGGTGTGTTAACAGGGTTTGTGCAGAGGAGTCCGTGCCGCAGAGTTGCTCCCCGGGGCCGTGCCACGTCTCGGCCCTGGTCCTGTGGGCAAATGGCCCGGCTTCCTGGCCTCTAAGTGTTCCCATCTGTAAAATGGGGAGAGGTGGGACAGATCACCACTCCTTGGTGTCTATGTGAGTGAAATGAAATCATGCAGGGCCCGAGGTGCTCAGTGGGTGTCAGTCATGACTCCCACGGGGAAATAACATCACAGCAATAAGGGAGCATCGGCTGGAGCCAGGCCCCAGGCGGGCACTGGCACATAGGCAGTGAGGTGGGTTTAGGGGGACATGCAGGCTGCACACCACACAAGGTGCTTAATAAAGGCAGATGCCCCTCCCACAGGCCCCCTACTTTGCTCTGAGGAATAGCCAAGGCCCTTCCCACTGCTCCCTGGCTTCTGGGTCATGGGCAGTGCCGGCAGGCAACCAGGGAGGGGCAGACGCCCAACCAGTCACCCCAGCTGCATGGCGGCCCCTCTCTCTGCCTATTTGGAGCACCTGACTCACTTTAATTATGGGCCTGCAGGCACGTCGGGGCGCGCCGGAGACGCCCGAGATAGCCCGGAAGCACCGGCTCCGGGGGCGACCGGACATCCCGACCATCAGCCAGGTGCACCTTCACCTCCCGCCAGCACCTTCCCACCCTGGAGATCCCCGTGGCACCCCCTCCTTCCGCAAGGGGCCCTCTGGCTGGCCTCCGGGGACTGTGCCCGGGCTTGGGGTCAGAATGGCCCAGGGGCAGTGCGCACAGGGCGGGTCTGCCTCCCGCACACAGCTGGGCGCCGGTCGGGGATGCCCGCAGAGCCTGTAACGCCACTCCCACGCGTTGGGCATGGCTGCCCACGCCTCCTCCGAGTCTGATGTATATTTAGCCTCATTATCAAATATTTGCAATGAACCGTGTGAACCGCCTAATAGCGGCTGGAAGTGAAACTTGATCCCAGGCAGAAAGAGCACGTGACCACGCCTGACCAGCAAGGATCGGGACAGGAGCGCTGGGCAGGTGCAGTAGCCCCCATGTGCCTGGCCTCCGGACTTACGGTCCCCTCTCTGGGGTGAGCATCTGCGGCCCACCTCCTCACCCAGCCCCTCTTTTCCAGGGACTAAAAGGATGCTTGGAACCTGAATGGGCTGGGCAGGGTGTCAGGAGGAACCAGGGCCGGGGGAGGGAGTCCATCCACGTGGGTTCTCATCTAAGTTGGTGACCTCTTGGTCAAGTCAGTTCTCCTGTCTCCATGTCCAATTCTTGGAAACTGGGCTCCTGGGCCTAATTCTGCCAGTTTCTTCCGGGGATCAGGGGAGGGTGGGGCGCGTGGAGCTGGGGGGTCCTTGCCCAACCCCAGCTGGAGCCCGCACCATGTCCTAAGTCCCCGCCCCCCAGAGGTGCCTGTGGTGCGGTTTGCCACCCTCCCAGAGCCGCTGTTGTCTGGTCGCTATGACGACTCGCGGAGGTTTTATTTTTAATAGCCGCCGGTGATTAGAGGGACGCCGGCGCTGCTCCTCTCCCCACCCCCCCACCCCCGCTCTCCAGTCTGGGGGTGGGATGCACCCAGGCCTCGCTCTTACTTTCCGCCCTGGACCTGGCTTGACTGCCATTGAAGACACCCGCTTCACTCCCCTGCTGGCCGCAAACTCCAGCTGGGCACCCCTGAAGTGCCGCATGGAGAAGGGGCTCAGGTGTGGAGGGGTTGGAGCCGGAAGAGCCCCGCGCCGAAATACAAGGCGGCCTTCCCTCCTTCATTCCTATACGCACTGTCGAACCCAGGCCTTTAACCCCGAAGGCGTGTCCTCAGGTCCCTCTGCCCGAGAGGAATCCGAGGCTCAAACGGAGGTGATGCAGCCCAGTCGGGATGCAGAGGCATGGCTCAGACCGGGTCCAGCCTGAGTCCTGGTGGTGCATGTTTGGCTGCCTTCCCCAAACGGGCCAGTGGTGTTCCTCTGAAGGTTCCACCTGGACGGACAAGGGCTGGCCGTCATGTGCTTCTAAATGTTTCCAAGTTTACCCTGGTTCTGCCTCCGTCCTCCTTCACCCTCCTCACCCTCAACACCTGGAGAGCCGGCTTGGTGGCGGGTGGTCGGGTGGGGCTGCAGCCTGGGGAAGGCAGGGGCATTGGGAGGCTGCAGGGGTGTGAAAGCATGTGGAAGGGCGCTAGGAGACCCGGGCCCTCTGGAAAGGGCAGGAGAAGTCCCGCCTCCCCCCTCCCCAGGTATTACGGGGAAAGGGAGCGCCCCCAAAGTACCCTCCCGACTTGGCCTTTGAAATGCCGGAGCCTGACGAGCGGGGGATGAAAGACCGCCCGCGGGGCTACGCCTTTACTGCCTTTGTCTGGCGGGAGGGCAGCCGCGGCGGGGCACGGGCCTAACCCACAGGATGGGGCCGAAGGGGGCGGGGGCCTGGGGCGGGCGGAATTCCCGGCCGGCCGCCCACCCTCCCACCGGCCAGGGAGTCTCCTAGCCTTCTGGGGCCTCGCCGTCTAGCTTTGGGGTCGCAAGGCCCGTCTTTCCCCCTAGCCCTGGTTCCAGGCTCGGCTGTCCCCTCGAGGGACCCGCCGGGGTCCGATCCCACCGGCTCTAGGCGGGCGGAATCTGCCCAGCTCGGGTGCACCTGCCCTTGCGTGGCAGGGGAGCGGTGCAGCCGGCTGAGGCCTCGGCCTCGCGCGCTGCTCCCCCGCATCGCGCTCTGTGCCGCGCCTCGGCCGGAGGTGGCGCTCTGTGCGCCCAGCGGATCCCGGCGTGGGAGGCTCAGACTCCGGGGGTTCCTCGCGAGCGGCTCCTTTCTCTTCCTTCCCTTCCGCCCCCTCGAGTTCCCGGCTCAGGCCGCAGCCCAGGCTTCCACGAGGGAGTGGGGACGCGGGGTCCCAGGGTGGGGACCAGACACACTGCAACCCCCTCCTCCGACCTGGGCGCTCTCCCATCTCGGAATGCGGGTGGAGGCTCCTCATTCAGACGCCCCAGGCATCGGATTCCGGGCGGGGGCGCGTGGCAGCCGCCAGGTGAGTGCCCCAGACGCGCCCCTCAACCCGCCCCACCTCTCACCAGAAACTCACTCCCCCTCCTTTTATGGAGACGCGGAGGCAGGAGCCCTGGATCCTAACGGTGGAAAGAGGCCCGAGCGCCGGGGCGGGGGGCCGGAGGCGGGGGCCGGTTCGCTTTTGCCCTTTTTGGCGTAGCAGCTCCGGGCGCTGCCCTCGGCCGCCGCTGGGGCCCGAGGGAGGCGAGCCGGCGACGGCGGCTCTTCTGTGGCGGCCTCCTCCCCTCCCCGTCCGGTGCCGCAGGATTGCAGCTGGCACTGGAGGGTGGGCAAGCTCGAGGGAGGGGCGCGCGGGGAGCCCGCCGGCGAACGGAGCCCCGTGGCTGTGCTCGGAGCCGGGCGCGGGGCTTTGATGGATTTTACTGCCTGCGTGAGCGCCAGCGAGTGCTTACTGCAGCAGCGGCGGCGGCGGCGGCGGCCGGGCCCTGCCCGGCCCGCGCGGCCCCCACGCGCTTCCGAGGTGCGGGTCCGGGGCCCGGAATCCGGGGGAGGCGAGGGGGCGGGGGCGGGGGAGGGGCGCGGCGGCGGCGGCGCTATAACCCCCTCCTCGCCGCCGGCCGGCTCCACACACGCGCGCCCTGCGGAGCCCGCGCAACTCCGGCGAGCCGGGCCTGTCCGCGCCTCCTCCTCCTCTCCCCGGCGGCGGCGGCTCCGGGTCGGCCCTGCGCCCGCCCTCAGGCCGGAGCGGCGAGGCCCCGGACGGGCGGCGGCTGCCAGGCGGCGCGGCCCCGGGCGCTGCCCGGCTCGGGCCGGCGGAGGGCGGAGCGCGGCGCCAGAGCCGAGGGCACGCCGCGGAGGGGCGCACGCAGGCCGCCGGGCCGCGCCGTGCTGGGCCGCGCCGTGCCCGGCCGGGCGGCGGCTGCAGGAGGAGGCCGGAGGCGAGCGCGGGGCCGGCGGTGGGCGCGCAGGGTCGCCCGCAGCCCGCAGGGAGAGCGCGAGCCCGCGGCCGGGGCCCGGCCGGGCGTCCAGACAGGTGATGGGTGGTGCGGCGGCGGCGGCTCCAGCCTCGCTCCGGGGTCCCTCTCGGGGCTGACGCCCGCAAATATGCAGAATTACCGGCCGGGTCGCTCCTAAAGCCAGCGCCGGGGAGCGAGCACGGCGGCGGCCAGCACCGGGAACGCACCAAGGAAGAGGCCCAGCCCCCGCCCTCCGCCCTCCGCCCCTTCCGTCCCCACCCCCTACCCGGCGGCCCAGGAGGCTCCCGGCGCGGCGGGCGCGGCGAGCGCGCACTCCCTGCTCCTCCTCCTCGCTGGCGCTGCCTGCCTCTCCGCACTCGCTGCTCGCGCCGGGCGCGCTCCGCCGGCTCCCTGCTCTCCGCGCCACCCTCCTCCGGGCCGCGCTCCCTGAGGGATGGTACTGAATTTCGCCGCCACAGGAGCCCGGCTGGAGCGCCCGCCCCGCGGCCTCGCCTCCCCGCCGAGCCGCCAGCGCCTCGGGACGCGATGAGGACCTGGGCTTGCCTGCTACTCCTCGGCTGCGGATACCTCGCCCATGCCCTGGCCGAGGTGGGTGCCACCCCCGCGCCCCGTCCCCTCTCCGACTCCCCCGGCGCACGCCCCCTGCAACCACCCGCGGGCCGGGGCGCCTCGGGCTCTGGGGATCTGCAGAGCGCATTTTGATTTCTGCTGGGGTGGTCGATTTTTTGATTTTTCCAACTGGGTTTTATTTTCTGCCATGCCGAAGTGTGTCTGGTGAGTTTCCAGCGTGTTGCGTCGCTCTGCCTTGGAGGGACGGAGCGGCGTGGGGTGGACGAGTGGGGAGAAACTTCGGGGGGCGCGGGCTCCTCGCCGGGGAGGGGAGCCCGGGACGCGGCGGACAGTGCAGTATCGGGGTGGGGGGAGCGCGGAAAGGGGTGTGTGTGACCTGGCGGAACCAGGGAGGGGAGAAGAGCAACGGATAAACAGGAGCGGCTGCGGCGGAAGCCCCCGGCAGGCAGGGTGGGCGGTGCGGGGCCGCAGCCCCCCGGTCCCTGTCTCTGAGCCTGGCCCGGCCGCTGGGCCGGCGCAGTCCCGCCCGCCCGGGGCCTGCTTACAGGTGGCTGAGCGAGACGAGCCGGGGCCGGGCCAGTCGCCCGCGTCCTCCCACCGCCGGCGTCCCCCCCCCCCCGCCCCCCATGTCGAATCCCGAATCCCCGGGAGCTCTGCTGTGATGAATGACTTTTCTGCAGCCCCCGTCGTGGGAACTTAGTGCTTGAGACCCCTCCCTCCTACACCCACACCCACACAGCGACCCCCGATTCCCTTTAAAAATCTGGAGGGAGTGGGGGGAGCCCGCGAGGTGGGGGTGGTCTGGGCAGGGATCGGGAGCCGCGAGAGGTGGAGATTTAACCCTCCCGTTGCCGGGCAGCCTCTCCCAGCCGCCCGCTGGATTTGGGGCGTCTTGGGCGGTGCTAGGGCCGCGGCCGGGCCGGAGCGGGTGGGGCGCGCGTGTGAACGAGTGAGTGCGCGCGCGCGCGTGTTTTTGCGACGGAGACCCTTGACCCCGCAGGTTCGGCCCGGGATTCCGCGGTGTGAAATTTAAGCCCCTGGCTAGATTAAAGCGTTAAGGCTGCCGTGACTTTCGTCGCCGATCCGTGACGCATTTCAACTTGATCTTTCTGCATGTCGATTTCACTATTAAATCAAACTCCTCGGGCCCCTCGCTGCCCCTAGACCTCCTGTAACTGACACCCGGGGCGGAGAGGCCGCGGTGCCGGGCTTTTGTTTGAAAATTTAAAGGTGGGAGGGGTTGCTTTCTGCAAAGGCGGACCTGGACGTGGGCCGAGAATTTGGGGTCGCACCCAGTCCCCCTCCCCCCCTTTCGGCGTCTGACTCCAGGGCCCCGGGGAGGGGCCGGGCGGCCCGCGAGCGGCGAGGGCCTGGGACTCGGGGCCGGCCGCTCTCGGGGGCGGGGGGCGCGGGGCGCTAGCCGGCCCGGCGGCGGGCGCTGACCGTGTGGCTCTGCTTGCAGGAAGCCGAGATCCCCCGCGAGGTGATTGAGAGGCTGGCGCACAGTCAGATCCACAGCATCCGGGACCTCCAGCGACTCCTGGAGATAGACTCCGTAGGTAAATCGCGCCCCTTCCCTCGGCGCGCGGGGCGGGTGTGCGGGGTGTGCGCCCCGCGCCGCCTCCCGCGCTCGGGCCGGGCTGGGCCGGGCGCCGCGCAAGAGCGCACCGAAAGGTCAGAATCCAGTCCCGGGCCATAAAAGCCCAGGCGGATGAGTCAGGAGTTTCTCTTCCAATCCCCACTTTCTCTCCCGGCGGCGGCTGCGAGCTGCTCGCTCGCCCGGGGATTGTGTTTGCATTTAAGGAAAATGCCGCGCGCGTGTCACAGAAAGTTCAGCGGCGTGGAGGGCGCCGGCGCCGGGGCCAGGTGTGGAGGCCCTGGGCCTGCCCTGTGGGGCCGGAGGAGCGGCGCAGCGGGCCGGGGCCGGGCGCAGAGCCCTGGCCTCACGCCCCGCGGGCAGGCGCGCGGGAGGAGCCGCCCCCGGGCCGGGCCGCTTTGTCATCGCCGCGAGCCGGTGCCCCGCTCCGGCGGCCGCCCAGCCTTTGTGGTTGCAGGAGACCCGTGCCTCTCTCTTTTCGCAGGCCAATAAAAAGGCGCATCTTGGACACATCTGGTGTTTGGGGACTATTTGGGGGCTCCCCCTGGGCCCTGGAGCCTAGGCACTTCAGAAACTAGTTTATTTGTAAACGCAGCGTTCTGAAGCTGTTTGGTGTTGGTTGCGGAGTTGGAGGGGACTGGTGGGGAAAGGTCACCAGGGACCCAGGTTGTCCCCGGTGGGGTGGGAGCTGGTGGTTTTGGTGGCTGCGGTGTGGACCGGAGGGAGCCTTTTCCTAGAGGGCAGGGATTCTGGCCCACATCTTTGCGGTAACCTGCTCCAAATTAGTACTCGGTGGGGGAACACCCATGCGAGGGTTAGTTACAGAAATACATCTTATTAATGTCTGGTTAAAAAGAGGCCCCAAATGGGCTTGTCAGACAGAGGGCTGAAGGTGGTAGAGGTTGGTTGGAACAATTTTCAGTGAAGATTTCGTTCTCGCTGCAGACTACCCTCAAAGGGGGGGTGGGGGGAAGAATTAAGTAAAATCACATGGTCTAGTCATTTGGAAATTTGTACCTAATTATGGTGGTGGAGAGGCCTGAACTATTTTCATTTCATGCCAAGACCATTTGCTAGCAAGGCCGATGGTTTCTGTAGTTTCGTGACCCAGGAAATCCTTTGGCTGATCCTTATCAGGAAGGGGGTAGAATTTCACTTGGAGATCAGAGTTGGGCCAGGGGGGATTTTGGTCTGGTTCCTTGATGTGTAACCCTGGGGAGAAGGGTTTGGCTTTGGTTAGCTGAGGAAAACACTCGCCTACATTCTGCTGGTCCCTGGCGGATCTGTGAAAGTGGGGAGGCCACCTCCCTGAGAAGATTCAGGGCTTTTTTTTTTTTTTTTTTGGCTTGGTGGAGCGAGGCTGGTGCAGTGCTGGGCCTCCCTGTGGGACGGCTTTGGGATGCCACCGGGAAATGGGCCATTCACTTTCTGTTGGGACCATTCTTATTCTGGTGTCTGCAGCCCCGCCCCCACCCACCTCCCACCCATTAACACTTTTTGCATTGCAGCTTGGTGGGTTATGCTGATGGCATTCCTGACCTGGGGGCTTTTGGGCCCAGAGCCTCTTTGGGAGGGTCCAAACCGAAAAAGCAGGATGCACCAGCTAGTTCCCTGGCTGGTTTCAAATTGCCCCCTTATAAAAAGCCCTGGGTGCTCGTCTTCCTCCTGCCCCCCGCCCCTGCCTTCCACCTTCTGTCACATGGTTTGGGGTCTGACTTGGATTCTGGGGTAGAACTCCTCCTGCCTGCGAAACTGGAGTGAGAGGAGAGGGGGGTTTCTAGGATCTTCTTTGCTCACTAGCTTTCCCCCTAGGAGGCCCTGTGTGACACCGATCCCAAAGTGGGTCTCCATCCTGGCCTGGTACCCTCTCACAGGGGCAAGCTGCGAGCCAGGGCAGTGCTGGTCTCCGAGCACAGAAGCTGCCACTGGATGCTCCTAGAGCTCACATTGCCCTCTTTTTTCCCCCAACACCTGTTCCTGCCCAAAGTGAAGAGTTGAAACAGATCTTGCGACTGTGGAAGGTTGTAAACAGCTGAGGGGCCAATTATCTGAGGACTAAGCTGCTCTCCAGGCCCTGGACCCCCGTGAGGTCCAGTTGGAGGCTTGCCTGGGATCCCTTAGGAAGGAGCTGGGGTGTGGAGAAACCCATTTGGTAGTCCTAAATCCCTCTTTGTAACTCCAAGGGTGACCCAGCCCTTTCAGGTCGGTGTTTTGGGTGTAGAGCTAATCAGGCCTGGGAAGCAGAAAAGGCTTTTTCTTACAGGCCCTCTCCTCCCTGGCGGGGCTTTGTGATGGACTCTGGATGGGACCCTGGATGGGACAGTGGGCGGCTGCGTCCCCATTTTACAGATGAAGCCGGAGGCAGTGAGGACGGCACTGAGTCTGAGAATCCCCAGGGTGTGCATGGAGCTCAGGGGTAGCTGACTTTCCATGTGGGGCTTTTGGGTGCAGAGACCAGCGTGTGGACTTTGAATGACCAGTGGCTGGAGTTTGGGACCTGTGTGTCGACTGTGATGAGAAACCAGCCATTCAGCAGTGAGGCGGCCAGGGGGGAGCTTTGTTCTCCGAGCAGCCTGGCCTGGTGCCCGTGTGGTGGGGTCACTGAGTAACAGATGCGTGAATGTCCCCATCTTGCTTGGGCCATTAATGCTCCACCAGGACTGAAGGCCGGAGGACTTGTCCCCATCCTGAGCTGTCACTTGGGCATTTGTGCGTGCAAGGCAAAAGGGAAGCCCCCTTGATTAGCTGTCCTGAGAGCAGCTTGAGGACCTCATTCAGGCGGGGCCTTCTCTCCTAAGTCACTGCTGGGTCATTTCTCAAGCAGTGTCAGGCTGCAGGCCGCCCCCCATCAGCGTGGACGGCGACCACCCATCTTGATCAGGGGGCAGAGAAGGGCTCTCATCTTGAAAGCAGTCCACCCGCCGGTTCAGGTTTCAGCGCTGGCCATCAGCTGGCCGGGCTGTGGTCTTCTCTGTCTGTCCAGGCGAGCGGCCAGGACGGGGCTCCTGGCAGCTCCTGCAGTCACGTCCTTGTTCGTCATCCGCGTCAGGTCCTGCAGATGTGTCAGGATCGAGGCACCCGCGGAGTGGTTCACACCTGGCTTTCGGGAGGCTGGGAAGATGGTGGCCGATGAGGCGTTTTCTCCTGGAGGCCGACGATGGGCCAGCAGGTCTTTGGTTTGAGGATGGCAAGATGGCTACCACTAGGACGTGACTCATAAATGTCACTTTTTCGTGAAAAAATGCTTCTTGTAACAGTTGGTTGATGGGAAATTCTTATTGCATGAATAGTTGTGTTCTGATCTTATTTTGGGTCTCAAAAAAATTAGTGGCAGTGGAACATTGAGTCATTTTAAGTGAGAAGCTGGGTTCTTCCCAGACTCTAGTTTTCGGAAAGGGCGCATCTCTTGTGGTTTGTACCTTTTGCCTGGTTGTTGGTTTTCATTTTAAGTGAGCAGCGGTTTTGGATTTGATGGTTTGTGGACAGTCGCTGTGGCCCTGGTGGCCCGGGCTGCTGCCCAGGACTCTGCTTGAGTTTCTCAGGGAAGGGACAGCAGGACATGGGGGAGGTCTGCACAGCTGCTGGAGCCCCTGGCTGTGGGGGTGTGCTTCTCAGGACCCAGTGCCCCTGCTCATCCACTGGGGAGCCAGGGATGGAGGGGGAAGTAGAAAGAGATCCCCCCAGCTGGGTCTGGGGGCCAAGGCGGGCAGGCCAGGGGTGACCCCCCTCATCCAGGTGCAGGCAGTGTCACTGGGGCGGGCTGGGCCCAGTGGCAGGTGGCAGGACTGTGTGTCCCTCCCACCCACCTGTCCCTTCTAGGAATCTGAGAGACCTGGGACTCACCTAGGCTGCCCAGGGGCACTGGGGGGGGTGGGGTGGTAGTGTGTGTACCAGGTGCCATTGTAGGCCTGGGGGATTAGGGTCCAGTTCTGATTTTAGCCCTGGGACGCTTTGCTTCTGCCAGCCCGCCCCCTCTACTGGGCACCAGGGTTCCTGTTCCTTTACTTTCCCCACTTGCATTTCTTGTGGCCTCCGAGTGGACTAACTTCAGGAGCAAGCGGAGTCCAGCTGTCGGCCCAGAGCTGGTTTAGTAAGAAGAGGGAGAGAAGGACACACATGCTCAGCAGGGAAGTCGTGGCAGCGCATGCGCTTCTCCTTCGGTGCCATTGGAGGGGCCCTGTCCCCGAGGCCCTTCCCAGGAGGTGGGCCTGCCTGGGGGCAGCCGGCCTGGTGGTTCTGGGTATTACGGAGGAGGAAGTCCAGCCCTCACCGGGGGGATCACCTGCCCCTTCCGCACCGACTGCACAGGTCTGCACCCCTGCTGCAGAGGGTGCCACATTTGGGGGACCTCCGTGTAGGCTTCCCAGAGGTCGGCGGGTGATTTTGGCAGTTGGGAGTCTTTCATCCTCTGCACACGTGGGAGTGACGGTTCTCCCTGGGGACCCTGTCTGTCTGGGGGAGGCAGGTAGGAAGCACTGTTGGACAGGCCCCGGGGTGCCCCACAGATGTGGGCTGGCTGGTCATCATTTCCTCTTTCTATCTGTAGGGGCTGAGGATGCTTTGGAAGCGAGTCTGAGAGCCCACGGGAGCCATGCCACCAAGCATGCACCTGAGGAGCCGCCCGTGCCCATCCGGAGGAAAAGAAGCATTGGTGAGCCCTGGGTCTGCCGGGTGGGGAGGGGGCGCTGGGGCTGGGGACTCTGGGGGAGCTGGGGGGCTCTCGCCCATGGGGCCTTCAGGGGAGTCATCCCTTCGCTCCTCCGTAAAACAAAGGCCCAGGGACCCCAGCGGCTCAGCCCCGGCCGCCCGCCATCTCTCCGGAGGCCTCCCTCCTCTGCCGGGGGCGCCTCCCTGCTCCGGCCCGTCTGCTGCTTGCTGCAGGCTGGCCTGGGCCAAGAGTTTCCAGGAGAGGAGAGCCATCATAAATTCCTTAAGTGCCCGGTCTTGTTGGGGCCTGTTCTGGAGGAGGCCTCGCTGCAAACGTGGTCGTGTTTCCTTTCCAGTCTGTAGCGCGGTGGCCTGGCTGGCAGCCACAGAATGGGCCGCCAGCAGACGCCCCTGCCCGTGGCCCCCACCCCACTCGCCGGGCGTGGGTTTGTGGGGTGTTTGCATCCTGTCCCCTAGCAGAGCATCCCCATGTCTGTCTGGCCCCTTGGGGCTGCGAGGGGTTTCCGGGGCTCTGGCTCAGCTCAGAGAGATCTTGGCCTGCACTTCCCTGCCCTGGGAGACGGGGCTTGGGGGTATGACCCCCCGAGTCCCGTGCCACTCTGGGGGTTCCTCCTGCTTTTCCTAACTGCCTGGGTGTGCGCCCCCCCCACTGCTCTTCCCTGCTGTGTGCCCTTGGGCAGTGACTGCCCCCCTCTGAGCTTTAGTTGCCCCCCAGAAGGTAGATTTCATAGCTTCTTGTCTCAGCGCGGTGTGTGGGTGAGGAGTCCTCCTGAAGGCAGGTGGGCCCACTCAGATGACGTTTATTGTAGGACTGTAGATTTTCTGTCCTCCAGACCGGTGTCAGAGGTGAGGGCGCTTCAGCAGGCCTGTCCTGTTCCAGATGGGGAGCCCTGGACTGTCTCTCTGGCTCCACCCTCGGCCCCGCCTGGCCAGGGTCCCCAGGCCCCTCACAGCCGGTGGGCCCTGGGCTGCTTGCCGCGAGCAGAGCCCTTTCCCGCACTGGAGTGGCCCGATCTCCAGCATCCGGCCTTCCTTGTTGGCAGGCCTGCTCTGGGAGACCCCGTGCGCCCCCTCCCAGGTGCTCCCAGGCCACCGGGGAGGATGCAAGTACCCCCAGTCTCCAGGGCTCTCGGGAGGTCTTCTGGCCCCTGTGGGGGGACGGGCAAGAGAGAGGCTGGCACCCATCCCTGGCGCTGGGGCAAGGCACCTCTCGTCCTTCGATTGCATTTCAGGCTCTTCTGCTTGTCTGCAGAGGACGGGGCCCTGCCTGGTGCCAGCCACGGGGGTCATGCCAGCCCCTCTGCGGCCAGGAGTGGCTCCCTCCAGTTCTGGGCTCTGGAGACCTCCTGCCTGGCCCCGTGTTACTCAAGGCCCAGTGGGCCTAGGGGCCGGCGTGGATTAGTAAGGCAGCATGTGGGGAGGAAGGCACATGTGCTGGGGTCCCCAGGTGGGTTTCTCATCGGGCAGTGGTGCCCTGGCATCCAGTGCATTTCGGGGCTTCGGGTCGGACAGATCGGCCTGTGCCGAGGAGCACAGAGTGGAAGGTAGAGCCAGTCCCTCCTGAGAGGGCAGCCTCCCGGCTGGTGGGGTGCTCTCTTGGTGGCCTTTAGTGAGCAGGTCTGCGGCCGGTGGGCTGGGGAGGCAGGCCTGAGTCTTGCATCCTGCATCCTGCATCCGCTGCCCGTCTCGGGTGTCCTCCCTTCCTGGGCCTGGCCTGGGGCCTGTGGCAGCTGGTGGCGCTGGGCCCTGATGTGTCCACTGGCTGTGGGGCCTGTTGCCCTCTTGCCTTGGGGCCTCCCCCGCCGGCCCTCACTACTGCTCCTCCTTGGGCCGGGCCGAATGCACCGTGTCGGGGGCCGGGGTGTCTCTCCATCCCTGCTAGGTCCTGGGGTGGTGCGATGTGCCACAAGGACGAAGCGGCAGCCGCGGGGGGACACACCCCCCTCAGGGCTTCAGGTCACAGGGTGGGCCTGGGTGCTGGCGGGACGGCCCGTGCGTTCACCTTGGCTCTTGGTCTGCAGAGGAAGCCATCCCCGCGGTCTGCAAGACCAGGACGGTCATTTATGAGATACCTCGGAGCCAGGTCGACCCCACGTCTGCCAACTTCCTGATCTGGCCCCCGTGCGTGGAGGTGAAGCGCTGTGCAGGCTGTTGCAACACCAGCAGCGTGAAGTGCCAGCCTTCCCGCGTCCATCACCGCAGCGTGAAGGTGAGCCCTGGGCCCCGCCTGGGCGCCCCGAGCCTGAAGGCTGATTTGGCCGGTGCACGAGGCCCGGGTGCAGAGCAGGCTGGTGGTAGAGCCGGGACGTGGGGCTGGCCGGCTGCTGGGGGTGCTTCTGGTCCCCCCCGCCCCTGCACGCAGCCTCCCCCATGAAGCGACAACGCAGGACCTCATGGGTTGTGTTCGTGCTGCCCGCTGTCTCCCCCAAGCCCCAGAGAGTTCTTGCAGGCACTGGAGCGGGGCCGTGGTGCGTGGCGAGAGGGGTCGGGGGTCCTCTCAGAGTCTCTCCCCAGAAGCACACGGGAAACAGGGCAGGAGAGCTGGTGTGGGTTCAGGGCCTGCCCCGTCGGGCCTCCGTCCCTCGTCTGTAATTCAGGGAGGGCACCCTGCTCTGCTGTGGGCTGTGTGTCCAGGGACTCCTGCGGAGGGCCATCCTGCGGGTGCCTTGGTCCTGGGGGTGGGGCTGCAAAGCCAGCCCCTCCCTTCGTCCTGGGAAGCCGTGCTCTGCTTGGAGACCCTCAGGATCGGAGCCGGGTTGGCTGTCTTTGCCGTGCTCCTGCAGTCCCTGGGAGCTGGCATACAGCGAGGCGCTTGCCCCAAAGCCCTCTCCGGGGCAGGGCGCTGGCCCTGGTGACTTCCAGGGCAGTGCTGGGGGCATAGGAAGGTCACGTTCAGATTACACGTGTGGGGGCTCCTTGTTCTTCCCGCCTTGGTCCTTGGGGGAAATCTGCTTCTTCGGGTCATTCTGGGCTGGCACATTGGGGTCTTGGCCAAATGTTGGTGTCTTGGCCCAGGGGCTGGAGGAGTTCCTAGGGCATGGGTCTGCTCTCCTCTGGCTTCACTTGTCCCATCTGTGAAATGGGTCTGAAACACAGTGACTTGGTGTCTAGGGCTGTGCAGGTCCCAAGTGGGTCCCAGGACAGCCGGGCCCCTGTTGGGAGTGGAGCTGTTCTGCTTCTGCGCGCTCAGCCCCGGTCTGGGTGCCGTCTTCCTGCTTCCAAAAGGATAGAGTGGGAGGGGAGGCATCCAGAGTGTCTTGGCTTCTCTGAAGTGTGGTCAGGGTGGAGCGTCCTGGGTGTTCCCGGTCTAGGGCAGGGGGCTGCCTTCCCTGGAAGCTGGCTCTGGGCGGGTTATGGTCCCACGTAACCCTGGGCTGTGGATTTGGGCATCGGGACACCTATTGAGTGGAGATGGACTGCCCACTCAGCTGAGCCTCCAGCAGCAAGTGCGTCCATTTTTCCTGGAATGAAGATTCTGGGGGTGTGTCAGAAGCCATTCCTCGACTGGAGATTCTTTCAGATCCCGTGTGCCCTTCTTCGGGGCCCCTGGATGTCTGCCCCTGGCCCCAGAGTGAAGTGCAGGGGAGACTTACTTATGGGTCATGTAGCTGGCTGGGACACTTGCTTGTCACGTGAGAAGACATGTTAGGCCTGTAAGTGGGGCTCCCCTTGACCTCTGGGGACTTGGTCTTCGAGCACTTGGGGCATTGAGTAAGCAAATTCCATGGCTTGCTGCTCTGTGCTCTCCACGGCGGACACTCCCCTGACGCCCAGGCTCCCAGCGCCCTGGTGCACTTCTCTGGGGCACTGGCTCTTGTCTTGGCTTCCCGACTCCATGCTGCCAGGGCCCCCGGCTGGGCACGGAGCCCAGCTCTGCACCCTTTGTTAAAGGGGGAAACAGGCCCAAAGGGACGGGGCTGTGCATTCCCGCACTGAGACTTTTCCCGTGCAGCCTGCTGTGGGACCCTGGCCTGCTTCCCTCGGGTCTCTGTGTCCTCACTTACGGTATGTTGTGAGGGGATTTCATGAGCCCCGAGAATCCAGGCACCTGAGATCTTTTCTTCCTGGGTGTGGGGGTGGTAGTGTTCTAGGTGAGACAGTCCCACATATGGATGCTGGGCATAGGGCCTGTCCTTTGGGTGTCCAGTTGGACTCTCAAAGATAGAGCAGTGCCAGAATGAAGCGGGGTTCCCTGTGTCTGGTCCTGGGATGGGCCGTGATCCCCTCTTCCTGGCCCACCCTGAGTGGGTGGGAGGGGCCCATATCTGCCTTGGGCACAGGCCCAAAGGGCTCAGCAGATGGTGGCGCTGGGCCAGGGCTCCCCCCACAGGCCTTCGTCTGCTCAGATGGGGTCGTGATCCACCCGAGGGGACAGAGGGGCTGAGTCCTGCAGCTGGAGCCCAGTGGCCTGGTTCCATGTCTGGCGCCCTGCTCTTCTCAGACCCCTTCCTCCTTTTCCCTCAGGGAAGGGAGCCCCTTCTCCCTGCCCACCCATCAGAGCATTGGCAGGAAAACATCCGGCCCAGACACTGGGGGTTTTGGCCGAGAAGGGACAAAAGGTCAGTGGGAACAGGAGGTCCATTGTGGAGGCCGGCCTGGCCCCTACGCCTGCCCAGGAGGCTGTCCCCGCTCCATCGGGGCTGAGTCCTGGGCCGAGCCTCTGTGAGGGGTGCTGGGGGCCAGCAGGGGCCCCGTGTGGCTGGGCAGGTGGGAGGTCTTGCCCTGGGCTGACATGTGTGTGGTTTTCTGGTTTATGGCCTTTTGATCACAGTTAAAGGTTGCTTACTGGAGAAGGTAAGGTAAGGCTGGGAGCGGCCACCCCATGAGGCCCAGACGGTGGGTTGTGTGGTGTGCTCAGTTGAAGGCCCCAGGCCGTGACTGTCAGGACTTGCTGGGGTGGATGGCCAGCTCTGTTCCGTGACCGCCAGGGAGGGTGGCCTGAGGCGTCTTGTGCCTCTAACTGATGGTCTCAGGTGTGGGTCCTTCACTCTCTGGGGCTGGGCCCTCATGTGCCTTCTGGGACCTGCCTTCAGGGTGGTCCCCTAGGGGTCGCAGGGGATAGCTGCCATTAGATCTCGGGGAGGGGTGGACACGTGGTCCGGGCTGGGGTGACGTCCCTGTATCAGCTCGCTGTGCTCAGCATTTGGGGTCTGCATTTAGGGGGCCAAGCATGCTCCCTGACTGGTGTCCCAGATGAATGCGCTCTTCTTCTCTCCCGTGAGTGGTGACCCCATACCCTGTAGGCATCTGACCCTGTCCCCTAGACCCAAGGCTCGAGGGCTAGGAGAAGGGGTAGTGTAGACGGCGGAGCCCGTGACTCTGGTCGGGTCGCACTGGATGGGGCTGTGCGGCGAACCTCCTGCCTCTCGCTGTGTGGCGTCGAAAGTTGGGGGCTCCCCTTTCCTTCAGGGCAGCCTGTGGGTTTACAGCCAAGTCCCTTAACTTGGTCAGGCCCCCAGGTCTCTAGGGAGAGACCCAGGTCCTCGGCCACACTGTGGTGGCCGGCAGTGGCTGTGTCTCACTAGACCTCGGGCTTCTGGAAGGTGGGTCTGGGTGTGTCTGCTGGGGTGCCCAGCACGGACCTCTGCGCCCTGATGGAGTATGAGATCCAGCTCAGGGAACTTGGGGAAAATCAGTGGCTCTGGCAGTGTAGGTCTCCCATCTGAGCTGCCTCAGTTCACCCATCCGTAAAACGAACGATAATTGTACCCTCACAGGGTAGCTGTGAGCGTTGCAGGGACCAGCACATGGGGTTCAGTTCTGCTGGTGTTTGTCGTGGATGGTGCCCTGCCCTTGACTCTGCAGTGGTCAGGCCATAACCTGGGGAGGGGTGAGATCCCCAGCAGGGCGTTGCTCTACCCGGCCCAGCCCCGGACACCATGACTAGCAGGACCTCAGGGCTTCTGTGCTCGGTGTCCCTTGTTTAGAAGGGGTAACGGCATCACTGGATCGCACGCTCGGGTGGCTTTGCCCTGGGAGCGTGCAGGTGGGGTGGTTCCTGCCAGGCAGACTCGCGGTGGGAAGGTGAATGTACTCTTTATAGGGTGCAGCTCAGACGCCCAGGACACAAACAAAGGGAGGAGGGAGGGAGGGAGGGGTGTGGGGACCCTGCTTGGGCTCCAGGATGGATCTGGGGGCTGAGGTGACGGGAATGAGGGTCCCAAAGATGTAAACATCTTGCTCTGGGGACTCGGCTAGTGTGGAGGCTGCTTTGAGAAGTTAATATTCAGTGTGTTCTTGGGGGAAAAATGCAGCTATTTCCTGGCCAGACAGAGGTGGCGGAACAGCTTGGAATCCTCACATACCCAGAAGCAGGTGCAATCATAAATCGCTGTTTGTTTTTCTTTGATAAAAACAGCCCGTCTGAGGAGAAAGTGGGTTCCCAGACTGGAGTGGCCGGTGTGCTGAGTGCTTTGCCAAGGGGACCGTGGCGGGGGTGGGTTTCTGGAGTGTCTGCCTTCCCCACCGTGGCTGGTCTGTCTTCAGTGGAAAACAAGCCTGGCCCCCTGCACCCAGAGCCTGGGGTCCTAGTACCTGTTCCCCTAGAGGAACCGGGTGAGGTGCTTGCTGAGCAGAGGGGCCAGCCCACCTGTGCCTTGCTGCCTGCCCCCCGCCTCCCTGTGTCCCCCAGCAGAGTCCAGTAGTGGAGGGAAGCCATGCGTGGGGGCGCATGAGTGCTTAGAACGGGGGGGCCGTGGCCTCTGACCTACCTGCTTAGACCCTGGGGCTGGGCTGGGAGAGGGGGCTGAGGTGGGCCTGGAGCTCCTGATGCCCGGAGGGCTGGCACGATGGCCAGGCTCAGGCCAGGGTCCTCTTGCCCTCTTGGGAGGCCCGCTGAAGTGCACCCCACCCAGTGCCCTCGAGGGGAGGTTCACTCTGGGCCTGGGGGCTGGTTTTGGTAAGCTCGACATGCCGATACCAGGGGTTGCTTGCTCCGGAAGGTAGCCCAGTGGCAAAGTTCCACGTGCTTCCATACATGTGAAACCCTGGGGGCCACGATCTTTGTTCCCATTTTATAGAGGGGAAAGTGGAGGCTCTCTGCCCCCATGTCCCAAGGATCGATCTCTCTCTTTTTCTCTCTCACTCTCTGTGGTCCTGGCCTCCTGGAGCGGTAGGTGCCTTGTGGAGCAGACCCTGCCCCGTGGCTGGGGCTGCTCATGCCTGAGGTCCTTTCCTCTACCTCTTCTCTCCTTAGGAAACCTCCCAGGCCTGGCCCCAAACTTGGCTTGGCTCCCACCCCACCTCTGAGCTCACACCTGGCCGTCCACATTCACACCTGAGGCTGCATCCCACTTCCTGCGGCCGCCGGGCACCCAGCACCCTTTGCACCGCGAGTTAACCGTTAACGTAGCCCAGTGGCTACGGATGGGTCTGGGCAAGCCGTGGGGCCAGCTCACCTGTGGGGTGGCCGGTCCCACTTGTCTGGGGTCCTCTGGCTTCTGGACTCCAGGCCTCTGCACAGGAACTCCCCCCTCACCGCCTCCCCTCCCCACTGTCCCCAGGCTGGGGGCTTCTGCTCTCCACGAGGGATCCCCTCACCCCTGCCAACTCCCTGATGCCTCCACACGCTTGGGGTGTGACCTGTGTGGACCCTGCTCCCTTTCTGCCTCAGTTTCTCCAGGCAAATGGGGTGGAATGGATATCCCTGGGGGCTGTTTCCAGGACCGCACCCAGTGTTGGCACAGATGGGAGCATCTGCCGTATGCCCAGATCTGCGGGGTCCAGGGCAAGTGGGAAGACGGTGGTCCCGCCCCTGCTGGGGACTGAGCTCAGGCCTGGGCACTTGCTGGGGGGAGCCCACTGGGGCTGCAGAGAGGGTCTGGGAGGAAAGCTCCTACTGTTCTGTATTTTCTTCGTGAGCTGGGATGAAATGAGGCCACGCTGGCCACGCTCACTGTGTGTATGCAGTGTCCTCGGACGCCCGGTGTGGGTATAATGTGTGTGTGTGTGGAGCTGTGTTCTTGGGACAGAACACGTGCGTGCACATGTGTATATGTATGGCAGGTGGTGCTGTGTTCCCACGACAGGGCGTGTGCATGCACTGCGTGTGCACATGTGTGTATGTGTGGAGCGTGGAGTGGCGTTCCCACGACACAATGAGCTGGTTTCCCCAGGCCCGAGCTGGGGTCCTTAGGAACTTGATTTCTAGGCTGCCTGGGCTTGTGCCCATGGGCTGGACCCGGCCATTTCCTCCCGACAGATCCCGGGAGAGGTGCAGAGGCAGGTCCGCCATGCTGTGCTTCTGTGCCCAGGTAATTTGGGCCGACAAAGGAGGAGGCCCAGTTGGAGGAACCACTGGCTCAGTTCTGGACCCTTCCCACCCCCGGCCTCCTGGGATGACGCCCCGGGGTCCTTGCCCATGTTTCGGAGAAGGCTGTGGTTCCCTAGGCCAAGGTCAGCTGTAGCTGGGGGGCCCTGGGAAGGCCTCCAGCCTGGGACTGAGGCCGTGAGGTGGCTCCATGTCTGTGGAGCCGGGGGTGAGGCCTGGCGCTTGTGGGGTCCTCATCTGCGGTCCACAGACCAGAATCCACGTCCAGACCCTGACAGCCTTCTTGTGGGCCCTTGGGCCTGCTCTCCTTCCTCCTGGGACCTCAGCAGGACAGGTGGGAGGGAGGCTGAGGCCGGGGCCACAGACCACAGGCCACGTGCAGCAGCCCCTTTCCGTGGCCGTGGGTTTTTGTCCTTTTACTAATCAAGCATGCGTTTGGAGGTTTTGTTGCCTCAGATGCCCCTAAGACCTGGGAGCGAACACCTTCCGTCCCCTGCCCTGCTCAGAGCTCTTACCTCGAGCGCCTCATGCAGGCCTCCTCCCTGCTCACGCGAACGAGCCTTCGGGTTCCAGTTAACGTGGGCCAAACCACAAATGCCGAAGGTTACTTTCCCATCTGGCTCTCCTGCCTTTCTGCAGGGAGTAGGTTAGAGGTTGGAGGTCAGAGGTCGGCCTGCCGGCATTGCCCTCCTGGCCTGGGTGGGGCCGAGCACGTACCTGTTCCCGCTGACGCGTGCGAGGCGTGGCCGGGGTGTTCACGGCGGGGCTGTTGTCTCGGGCAGGTGGCCAAGGTGGAGTACATCAGGAAGAAGCCAAAGTTAAAAGAAGTGCAGGTGCGGCTGGAGGAGCATCTGGAATGCACATGCACAGCCAGCGGTCTGAACCCGGACCACCGGGAGGAGGAGACGGGTAAGCCCCGCCTCGGCCGCTGTCCTGCTCCTCGCCCTCGCCCCCGCCCTCGCCCTTGCCCTTGCCCTCGCCCTCAGCTCACTTCACAGGGAGTCCTCGGGGCCTGGCTTCCACGCCGAGGCGGGGCTCGGCGGGCGCTAGGGTCCAGTGCTGCCACCAGCCTGGACCGCGAGCCCAGGCGGCCTGCTGGGGGACGCTGGACGTCCCCACCCTGGTCGGGGCATCGGGTGCCGGGAGCCATGAGGCCGAGGGAGGCCCGACCCCGAGTAGGTGGCTCCTGGGGGCCTCTCGGCCTCCCCCTTGTCCCGTCAGACTTCGCCCCGAGGCAGCGTGGCGCTGTGACCCGCTGCGTTGGGCCGGCTCAAGGGCACCAGGAAGTGTCTCTGTGCCAAAGCTAATTGAGTTTTCTTCCAGAAAGACAAACACTTCAGCTATTTATTGCCTCAGGTCCGCAGCCCTAACCCTTAGGCCCGCTCACCCTCCTGCCCTTCTGTTAACAGGAAGGCGTAGGGAGTCAGGTAAAAAACGGAAAAGAAAAAGGTTAAAACCCACCTAACGCAGCCAACCAGGTAGGAGCTGTGTGCGGATGTGCCTCGGTCCTGTGGGTGGGAGGTGCACCGGCTGATCACACGGCGAATCCCTCCCGTGGCGGCGAGCTCGCGGCTCTGATTGATCGGCCCTGATCGGCCTGCAAGCTTCCGGTGTCTGGCTGGGCTGTGGGTCTGCTCGCTCGCGTCCCCTGCTGCTCCAGAGTCCCCGCTCTGGCTTGGGTCTCTTGCGTTGATTGGGGAGGCCCCGGCGTCACAGGACTGGAGTGATTTGGGTTCCTGAACAGCAGTGGGGTAGCTCTGATGTTTATTAGCTGGGATCACCTTGGGCAGGTTACCCGTCCCATTTGACAGATGAAAGACTGAGGCTTACAGGGATGATAGGTAAGGGAATTGAAGACTGCGTGGATCCTATCTGAAAATGTTTTATAGACGTGTAGGGCTGTTGGCTACTGTGTTGGAAAGTGGCTTCTGGTAACACACCAAAACCAACAAGGGCTGAGATGCGGTAGACGTTCAGGTGCAGGTATCGCATCCTCCAGGTATCATCAGGGACCCTCTCCCATGCAGGACTGGGGTCGTCTATCCTCAGAGTTGCTTCATGGCTCGGCATGGCTGCTGAAGCTACAGAAATCACATCTACACTCCAGGTTGGAAGAGTAATGGTGGGAGAGGGGCAAAAGAACCCTCTTAGAGAAGTCCCACCCAGTGACTTCTGCTCTGATACACTGGCCGTCCTTCAGCTGCAAGAGGACCTGGGCAGCGTAGTCTTGTAGAGAGGCATACTGCTTCCCAGAGGAAAATGGGATTTGGGCAACCACAGTCATCATGGAGGCAGTTTCCAGCCTTCCTGCTCCTTGTTGTTGACCTGTCTGCTCTGGAGAGCCTAGTACTTGCCTCTGGCCACGTGTGAACCCATGGCATCCCAAATATGGGTGGTTGTAGGAAAAATTCTTGGAGATGGTATCTCAGAGCCAAGGTGCTGGTTCAGTGACTGCAGAAAGCTGCCAGGTCGGCAGTGTTGAGGCCAGCGGGTCTGGTCCATTCATAAGAATCATCTGGGGAGGAAAGGATCCACTAGGGTGGGTTCCTGAAGCAGCCTCAAAACAATTTCTTGCCTGTGATTTTTGCTTTCCCCAAGGGTGTGGCTCTGGGGGTGGTTTTGTGCCGGCTTGTGCATCCAGTCTGTACACCGTCGATTGGGCTCTGGCCTCCATGGGCCAGCCGATGACAGAGATGCCAAGTGAGAGGCAAGTGGCCTCCCTGCTAGCTTGTGGGTAGTACCGGTGTTGGGACAAGCAGTGAACAGATAATGTGGATGGGGAAGAGCTGCTCTTAGCTCAGAGCTCAGTGTAGATCTGCTTGCCCGTCTGCCTGGTGGTATCCATCCTCAGGGTTGTCTCATGGCCCAGGATGGCTGCCAGAGCTCCAGAAATCACATCAAGCCCTCTGCTGGCAGTGAGGGGGAGGAGGAACATGAGGAAAAAGACAAAAAAATAACCATTCTGGGCCTCAGTTTCCCTCATCTGTACAATGGGAGAATGGGGCTTGTTCTAAGGAATGTTCTGTGAGATCCCAAGAGCCTAGTCCCAGTTCTGGTCAGGAGGTTACAGAAAGGGTACTGAGGCATATTTGACTTGAAAAATGCCACAAACCCCTCAAATCCTGAGGTTTGTCCCAGTGTGTGAGTGTGTCCCCCTGATTGGGTGAAGTGTCTCCCTGTGGTCCCCGTCCACACTGCAGCGTGCATGCTCGGTCCCTCGTCAGTGTCTGTTTCTCTCCCCTCTCCTTGCAGATGTGAGGTGAGGATAAGCCAGCAGCCCTTTTCCGGGACACGGATGTACATGGCGTGTTACATTCCTGAACCTACTATGTACGGTGCTCATTGACAGCGTGCGGTCTTTGTTCTCCTCCGTGAAAAACCGTCTCCGTGCACACTCTGGAGAACAAAGAGACAGTATACATTTGTTTAATGTGACATCAAAGCAAGTATTGTAGCACTCGGTGAAACAATAAGAAGCTTCCTTGTCAAAAAGAGAGAGAGGGAGAGAGAGCAAAGAGAACCACAAAACATGACAAACAAAACGGACTCACAAAAATATCTAAACAGTTGTTGGAATGGAGGGACACCCCCGTGGGATGGAAGCGATGTGCCTCGGCGGACCGGATTTCTGTCCAGGGTTACAGGTGCTTCTGCCAGGGACACAGCCTGCTTTCTGGAGGACTCCGGGCGGGGGCCAAGGGCCCTGAGGGCACGTGGGAGCAGGGATATCTCAGAACCACCACGGGACTTAGAAACACATCTCCTTGCCGTAGTGTTTAAGTCTATACAGAAACCTTCCCGAGAGCCTTAAGTGGATTTTTTTTTTTACACCATAAAGTGATTATTAAGCTTTCCTTTTTACTCTTTGGCTAGCCTTTTTTTTTTTTTTTTTTAATTATCTCTTGGATGACATTTACACCGATAACACCAGGCTGCTGTAAGTCAGGACGGTGGGACCGTATTTCCCCTCGCAGGATGCAAACAAATGAGATGTATTAAAATAAACATGGTATATCCACCTATGCATCACTTCCTAAATGTTTCTGGCTTTACGTGTTTCTCCCCTGCTCCATTTTATCTTACTTTTTAATTTAAGCCATTTCGAGAGAACTATGCGTGAACCAATCGAGTCCGTCCCAGGCCTGCCGTTCCCAGTCCTCGCCACAGCGAGGTGGCCCTGTGCCAGTGTTTGGACAGAATCTAAATTCTTTATTTTTGGTAAGATGTTACGCTTTACATGTATTCAACAGAAATGTGTGTGTGTTGTGTTTTTGTTTTTGTTTTGTAAAGGTGAAGTTTGTATTTTTATCTAATATTACCAGTTTTGTATACCTGAGAGCCTGCTATGTTTTTTCTTTGAACCAAAAGGAAAAAGAAAAACCCACCAACAAAACCCATACACGTGAAAAGTGCTTTGTGGTCACATTTTTCTAGTTGCGTAACTGAGTCTAGACCCTGTCTCCTGTCACGGGGCCCGCCGCTCGGAGGTGCCCCGGGCCGCCCCACTACGAGAACCTGCGCAGCGAGGCCTGCCCTTTGGGATTCCGGAACCTGATGGGCCAACAGTGCCATCCTGCCCGGGTGTGTGGCCTCTTGGAGACGGCGGCCACGCGCCCAGCCGAGCAGCCAAGCAGACGATGGGCTTCATCCGGAAGTGAGTTGACTTCGGCGTCCGCGGGCCGAGCCAGTGAAGGCCGGCCGCCCTGTGTCGCCCGTGGCCCGCTCTCCCCGCTCCGAGCAGAGAGGCCGTGTGACTGTCACGATCCCCTTGGTGCCTGTGGGGTCTCTGGAGCGAAAGCGAGCGTCTCTGGTGTTCGCGTGTTCATGGGAGAGTTTTTATAAAGGCATTCCTTCAGCAGCACATCTTCACGGTGTGGTTTTTGGTCCGCAGTTCATGGGACGGGAGGTGGGGGTTAGGGGCTCGCGGTGCAGTGGGCCACGTCCCCTGGCTCGCGCTCCCCCGTCGGTGGTGCCCGTGGAGGCTCCTCCCAGTCCCCCCGCCCCGTGCTGGGCATCTCGCGGCCGCGCTGCTCACGACACTGGGCCCTGGAGACGTGTCTGATGGTAGGTGGACAACGTGGGATTTATGTATTATGTTTCCCTGAGATGCTGAGAGGACCTCCCTGTTTTTTTTCTTTGCCCCAGCTGGCTGACGGAGGACCTGTTTGTCCGTTAGGGCGCTGGAGCAGAGAAGACTTCGTGCGCTTCTGGGGAGGGGGCGGTGCCGCAAGAGGGCCCAGAGCCCCGGGGCGGGCGCGGGGGCTGGCGGCCGCGGCGGGAACTTGAGTGTGCCTGTCGCCCCGGCCAGGTCCTGTGCTGCTGGGTGGAGCCGGGGCGGGCAGGGTGGCACCCACGCCCAGCCAGGAAGGGGTTGCCGCCCGGCGGAGCCTACACTCTGGCTGGATTGTTTCTGGATTGCAGGCCTATGCGGCACACAGGCTCTGTTGCGGCTTTGCCCTGCATTCCTGGCATTTCTGCTCCTGCCTGGACCTCTCCCGGCCTGTCACCCTGGGCTGCACCTGGGTGCGCCCGAGAAGTCACTGTCGGCTGGGGGCTGGTCCCTTGCACTCCTGAAAGCCCTGTGCCCTTGGGCCACGGGCTTCTGCACCTCCGTGTGTGCATCTGCACGGTGGGGACGGCAGCTCGGCATACGGCAAGGGTTCTGTATTATGCACACAGGGACCCCAGCACAGACCTCGGGGTCTTCGGCCTCCTTGTGCAGAAGCATGTCACACCCGCCCTCGGCATACCCTCCTTTTTGTGTGTCTGGCCCCAGTGTTGCAGAGGAACAAAGCCCTGGGGTGGTGGCTCTTTCAGGGGTGGACCTGCCTGGAGACCCGCAGTTGCCTGGTCACAGCCATCCTTGTCCTGTGTCAGGGGGTCCCGGCAGGTGCCGGTGGACTAGGTGCCTCTCCACCTTGCTCAGAGCAGCTCCCGCTCCACACCCAGACTTGGTGTCCTGGTCTGTGAAGTGGTGTGCCTGGCTGGGGAGTGGCTGTCCCTGGTGTGTCCCATGTGCTGCGCTCCAGCCTGGGCCGGGCTCAGCCACCTCTGGGGAGAGGCCTGTCGTGGGCACCTCCCACCTTCTGGGGATGGGAACGAAGGACAGGGCACTGTGCCCTTGGCGTGCCCTTGACCCTCGGGGGCATCCTGAGCAGAGAAGCAGAGGAGGGGGCACATTGTGCTCACCAGGGGAGGGGGCAGCAGGTAGCGTTCTGCCAGGGGCCGGGGGGCCGCCCTGCCTCCCTGGCTTTAGTCTCACCGGGCTGGAGACACTGCGCAGTGCTGGGGCCTTGGCTGGTGCGGTGAGTGCCCTGTGACAGCACGCGGTCTGCCTCCAGAGCTGCCACTGTGGAACCGGGTCAGCAACAGCTGTCACCTGGGCCCCCAGGGAGGGCAGCATGCTCCAGGTCAGAGGAGGAAGAAGCCTCCCCCTTCCCTTGGGCTCTGACCGGTCAGCAGAGCAGATGCTCCCTGGGCACGTCTTGTGTGCGTGGCTGTCTGCAGAGCTGAGCTGGGGTTCTGGAAGTGAGGCATGGCTGACACGGTGTTCTGCGGGTTCCACGTGCACCACACAGGGATTGGACCGTTCTATTACTCTAGCATCACTGACTGAGCTCCCTGTGCTGTGCTCCTCATCCCCGGACCTCCTTGTTCTGTAACCCCCTTCCACCATTTCGCCCGCCCCCCCGCCCCCCCAGCAGCGCCGAGCTCTGTCTCCTCCCGGTCACTGCTGCTGTCACAACACAGGCTGGCCCACCTTTCATGCCAGGTGCTCCCAGCCAAGCTGAAGCTCCAGGGTGCAAGGCTCTCCTCCACCTGCTTTGCTTCACCTGGAGTGGAGCTGAGACGCCTGGTCCCGGGGCCAGGCCCCTGGCGGGTGTCGGGGTTGCGGGGACTGCAGTTAACGGTGCTGTCTGTCCCAGGGCCTGTGACCTCCTAGTGCGGATGGAGACAGAGGCTCTGACGCTCGGGCGTCCCCCGAGGCAGCAGCTGGAGGTGGGACTGGAGTCTGGCCCCCTCCCCGCTCACGTCCGCTTGGGCTCCTGGCCGCAGCTCCCCTGGGAAGCCTGCTGTTGTCCCCGTCTAGCCCCCACCAGCTGCATCTCAGGTGGTTCCCAAATGACCCCCATCCTGGGCTCCGGGGCCCAGGGTCTGGCAAGGCTGTGGTGGGCACCCCAGGCCCTGCCTGCAAAGCCCTCTGGGGAGGAAGGCAGCAGGGTGATGCATGTGGGTCTGCATCCTGCCTGCCGTGTGGCCCATTTTATAGAGGCACAGACAGACTCGGCGTTTCCCCATGTGGCTGGGATGGGTCTGCGTTAACTGAGCGTTGCATTAAAAATTCAGTTAGCCTCGGTGCCTCGATGCTGTGATAGTTCATTTTTGGCAGTGACATAAAGTGATTTTTTTTTACTTCAATTAACAATTCAGGTGGAACAGGGGCAGGCAGTACCTGGTGGCTGAGTGGCTGGGAGCCTTGATGGGACCCCTGGGCCTTGGCCAGGCTTTGGGGCCAGTTGCACTCCCAGATGATGGTAGGTGGCCGGCCATGTGACCTCAGGGCTGTGGGGCTGGGAAATTGTGTGCTGGGTCTCGCCTTCAGCCCGGATTCCCCAGGGCAGAGCCTGAGAAGGGCTGCTGGACAGATAGTTCCTTGGAGAGGAGATCCAAGGATGAGGCAGGGAGCAGGGAGCCCCGGGCACCACCCGCTCCTGCCTCTGGGCTCCGTCCCGTGGGACCCTGAGGGGCCTTGCAAAATGCCTTTCAGAGCTGTTACCGAGGCGAATGTGGAAGCGTTTGTCCACTGCGGTTGTGCACGGTTGTGGCACGTGTGAGTGCTCGGTTCTCCAGGGTCCCTCCTGGTACCGGAGGAGGCAGGCAGGGGGCCCGAGGGTGCTGTCGGGCTGCCTCTGCTGGGGGGGCGGGGAACGCCTGCATGGGCCTGAGTGGGTGGGCCGGGAGGAGCCAGTGTTTCTGGGGCTGGGGCTCCATGGGCAGGCATCCCTGGGGCCCATGAACTGAAGGAGAGCGCGAGCCCTGAGCCCATCCTGGCCAAGGAGGGCTCCTTATAAAGAAGCCCATCTTGGACCCTTTGTGTCCACTTGTTGGGGGCAGCCGAGGGTGGGGTGTGAGAATGTGGCTCTATTGGGCTCTTCTGTGCCCTGGACCACCCGGTAGTGTGACCTTGGGTATCTCATATGACCTTGGATGACCTTGCCATGTGACTCTGGGTGTCCTCACCGTGTGACCTTGGTAGGTCCCTCCTCGCTCTGGGAAACCATTGCTGGTGTATGCAGAGGGCTTGGCCCCGAGCAGGCCCTCGGGATGGAGTCCCCCCCCAGTCCTTGCAACACAAAGCAGGAGCTGCTGTCCAGGCCAGGGGAGCATGACTAGGAGGTGCGCAGACCCCAAAACGGTCTATCAAACCCACCCGTCCACCCACGCGAGCGGCTTCTCGAACAGGGACGGCAGAGTGTATGAACTCACACACCTGTCCTTCTTCACCACGCTGCGAGCACAGAGCGTGCGGAGGAGGTGCAGAGTGGGCCAGGTGGCCTCCAGGTGAGAGGGCCTGGAAGCTTCTCTGCCCACTCCTCCCAGACCGGACCATCTCACCCTGTTCACACCTTCAGCTGAAGCGACTGCCTGGGTCCCGGTCTGTCTTCTCACCAGCTGGGGACTCTCAGAGGCAGGGCTGGGGGTCTGGGTCTTTTCTGGGTTCATGAAGGGAGGCCTGGGGGCCCCTGGGGTCCTTCGTCTCCCATTGTCCTGGCTGCACCAAAGCAGGAGGCCCTGGATTCACCCTGGGGCGGGGGCCGGCACCCAGCCTGGCCTCGGAGGTGACAGCGGTGAGCAGGACCTGGCCTGTCACCCCCTGGTGCCCAGCCCCTGGGCGGGGGCAGCTGGACTCCACCCCCACTCCCTGCAGGGCACTGGGACGCAAAGCGTGTGGTTTCTACAGAATAAAACGGTGACTGTTTCCAACCAGGCCCTTGAGCCGCCAAAAAATGTGGAGTATTCGCTATCTGGCCCCTGGCCTGCCGATCAGTGGGCAGCGTTCCTGGGAAGACTGCCCCGCCATGCACCAGACACCAGTCCCTACTGGGACGGCAGCCTGAGGCCCCTGCCTGGCGCACCCTGGGGGATGAAGCAACCCCCCCGCCCCGCCCCCGCAGCCCTCTGGCTCCCAGTGGGGCTCCACCAGGGGCTATACTGCCCAGAAGGCCCTCTGTGGTTCCGATGTGCAGGGAAGACAGACAGACAGGCATAAATACTTCTTTCCCCTCTGAGTTTCTCCTAGACAGTCCCCAGGTGGGGTCCCACTGCAGGCTTCAGGTTTGGGCGGGGTTGGGGGGGTAAGCTGCCAGCAGACCGCTCCACCGGGGGCTACATCCCTCCCCAGGGGGGTCGGCCCCAGCCTTTGGCCACAGAACATGGGCCATGAGTCCCCATCACCTTACCTGGGGGACTCTAGGCTCGTAGGAGTACCTCCCAGACTACACGTCATCCTAACTGTCAAGGACAAGGCACCCGGAGCGCACGACCGAGCGCAGCCAGCCTTGGACAGTTTCCCCAAACCCCTGCCCGTGGCTCAGCCCTGTGCTTGTCACCACTCTGGGCTCTGGGCTGGCTGTGCCCTTTGCAGAGGGTGCCCATTGGAGGGCCTGGGTGGGGCGCCCCATTCTGACTTTTCCTGCTGCTCCTGAGATGCCTGCTGGTGTCTAGGGCTGAGCATGGGCCTGGGTGAGCATCGTCCTCTGTCAGCCCGGGGTGGGGGGGCATGCCAGGGGGCAACAGCACCTTCTCCAGGTGCCTGAGGGGGTCCTCCTTTGGGCTGACTGGGGACAGGCGCTGGGACCC